TCCCCCCAGGAGGTTCCCCCCCAGAATACCCGGCTTTTTTTTTTTTTTTTTTTCCGTTAGGGGGCCAAAGTGTTTTTGGTTTGACTGTTTTTTTCCGCCCCCCCGGCCCCCATTTTTCCTTTTTTAAAAAACCCCCCCCCCCCCCCCTCCCCCCCCTCAACAAATGCTTCGCTACAAATCCACAGCTACACCCGGGCCTACATCAACCACCTGGGTAGGGCCGGCGAGCTCCTCGGCGGCATGCTGGTCTCCCAGCACAACGTCTTCTTCATGAACGAACTCATGACGTCGATTCGGACGGCCATTGCCGAGGGCAGGCTGGCTGAGGAAGAGGACAAGTGGCTCGCGCCGGGGCTAAGGGCTAGGGATTTCCACAAGAGAGCGGCGGCAGAGGCGGCGGCGGCAGAGGCGGTGAAAGCGGCTGCAGGAGAGGAAAGCGGGGAATCCCATCACTGAGTTTGGAATCGGGTGAACGATATGATTAATTGATCGATTGATTGATTTTCTGTGGCTCTTATGCCGGAGGGGGGAGGGGGGGGTAGTTGATGATGACTTAGATTCCAAGTTCGATAGGTCCGTTGATCACGTCAGGGTGGCGGCTGTAGAGGCGTCGGCAGCGGTAGGTTGGGAAGGGGGACGTACTCATGGTTTGCATTCAATAATTGATAGGGATGGGGAGGGGGGGTCTTGACACGGCAGGGGGGAGGGTGAGTATTAGCTTGTGTATTTGCGATCACGTACTGCAAGTGCTGTGGAAATGCTGTACATGGCATGTAGAGGTGCTCAATTGCTCACTTAGTCCTTGGGTGTACAAAGGTTTGTTGCTTCCCTTGTACAGGTGCGTCTTGTTTCTGTCTGGCGGCTGCGACTGCTCTGGCCATGCCACTGCTGTGCGTTCTTGCGTGTTTGTATGTCTGTAAAAAACGGCTACGGTGCCCGCTCTACGGTCTTAGACGCCTTTTGATTGGAGAACCCGAGGAGGCGTTTCACCGCTTCGAAAGAAGATGATGAGAACGCCTCCAACCCTCGCCGACGAAAGCCGGGAGCCCCTCGCCGCTTGAGTTGACCCCCCCCTACCCCCCTCGAGTACAATTTGGCCCGAAGCGTTGTATTTGTAGGAGTACCGTGTTATTTTTGCTGGCCACTGCGGACTCGCTTCGACGATAAAGAAATAGCTCTCCCCTAGAGGGTTGTCGTCGTTGGGGGGAGGGGGGCACGAGTTGGTTCAGATGTTGGAAAAATCAAAAACGAAAATTTTCGTTCTCCGTGGCCAGGACGCAACAAGCTTCCCCGCCTGCTTTCTCCTTGCCCATGCTTCATGATGGCTAGGTTGGCAAAGTAGACGTTGTTGTTGTTGTTGTTGTTGTTGTTATTGTTGACGATCGATGTGGTAGCTGTTTCTAGTGGGGGGTCCGCAACGGAGAGAGTGCGCGCGCGCATGTTTGCGTGTGTGCGTGTGTGCCGCGGGAGCTTAGTGTCGTCTTCACGGATTTTCAGAACGCCAGTCCCCCCGTGGGGTGCCCCCCGTATTTTTCGTTTGTCTTGTTGTTTTTACGCCCCCCGCCCCCTCCTCTCGTATTGTTTGCGGAGGTACCGTTTTACGCAAGCTTTTCTTTGCCTATGGGACGGCAGCTGTTGTTTTTCTGTACTCCCTTGTCGTTGTTATATACTCCATATGCAGCACTGATAATGCTGTTGCTACAGTAACTCGGCAAGCAGCCATGAATTTTGCATTTTACGTATAAAATGTAGGCTAGGATGAGGTATTTCCGTTTTACCATCACATGTAGGTGTAGATGATGAGCAATTCCGTGCATTCGACATAGTATATTTTGTTGGTGTACCTGCGGGTGACAATGCACATCCAGGGAATTTACAGAGGAATTGAGGGTTTTCGTCTTCCAAGAGTTTTTCATGTGTACGAGGGTGCAGGGAGTTCGTCGCAGAGTATACCTACGGGAAAACGTTTTTCGGGTGGGGAGGGTCTAGGTCTATGCGGTTTTGTTATGCTGTGTCTCGTACAAAGCATTGCATACCGCTTTGTTTGTTTGTAGTTGAAATATTTAACTGTAGGCTTTAAACTAGGCAATTATGTGCACGTTGCGTGTTGGGCGAATGTCAAATGTCGGGTTGCGTACGCTGGTCTGTACCACTAATCACGCACTAAGGCGTGGTGTTGTGCAGCGCGAAGAGATGGGGGCGGCGGGGGTGAAGGACAACACTGATTCTGTGCAAGAGGAAGAGGTGTTGTGTAGGACGGGGGTACTGCTATTATCGTGTGTGTGCTTTTATGAACTTTTAAGACAAAGGTGTGTAGGTCTATAACCCCGGTGATGCGCACGTTACGTGGGTACGTCCCACATTTAAGCGCCCTCTAAGGCCGCCCCTGTTCCTCTAACCGTTCTTCGGTCACGTAGAGTGGGCATTGTCATGTTCTCGACGATGAAAACACACGTTCCTTCCATTTTTTTTTTTTTTCTTAGTATGACACAACGAGTCCATCTCTATCATAGAAAAGAGTCAGAGACAGATTAGCAATGAAATTTTGTTGTTTTACTTTTTTTCTTTTTTCTTTTTCTTCGTCGTTTCTTCCGCACACACAACAGCAGTATGTAGTGCTGTTTTTTTCCTGTCGAGGTAGGTATTTGTTGCGCGGTGCACCACCGACCGACAGCAGCAGCGCAAGCAGTCTCGGGATGCCCCGTGGCAGATGGATCTGGTTTGGAATGGCAAACGCAAGGATGATGATCGGCTGGTTGCTTGTGAAACGTACGCTGGTCCGGCGCAAACCATGCAAATCGCTCCGTCCCGGCATTCACCTAGCTAGGAGGGATGCGAGGTCAATGGTCTTGACGCTCGTAGGGCAATGCGTTTACATGAGTACACCCGCCCCGCCCGTCCCCATTTTTTTCGTCTCGTTTTTATTTTTGTTGTGGGGGAGTGGGTGTGTACACCATCAACGGTTGGTTGTCCTGGCGTGTCTCTGTGCAGTAACTGTAAACGTTCAGGTGTGTACGAAGGCACATACATACGTGGGCTTCAAAAGCAGCGAGGTTATATCTCGAACGGGTAGTCTTTCTGTGAGGTCATGTTTACTTTCTAAAAAAAAGCAGCGTCTTCAGTAGGCGTTCGGGGGGGGGGGGGGGGGGGGGGGGGCCCTTTTCTTGCCTTGCCCCTTCTTTTGAACCTTTGCCCCCCCCTCCTCCCAAACCCAAAAGGAA